TTTACCCAACTGCCAAATTACATGAAGCAGTTAATTTAGCAGTTGAAAGAATTGATTTCAAATTGTACTCTTCTCACCACAAAAATAAAGTAATTGCCAACTATTTATAAAAAGGCTGGTATCCAAATCAACTCAGAAGTTTCCTCACCTTTGTTTTAATATTTATAATTAATATTAATAATAAAAATGGATGAACAAATACAAGAAAATTTTGATGATCAAGAAATAGGCAACTTCCACCAAGAGAATTTTTACATCAACCCTGATGAATCAATTATTCGTTTTTTTATTATATTTATTTAGTCAAGAAAAATTCACGTGATATATTCAAAGATCTTTTCTTAAAAGGAAAGATTGTCCAACAGAGCGGCTCCAGAGCCGCTCCTCGGCTATATATTGGTTCAGTTCCAGAGTCGCTCAGGAGTGGCTCCTTAACGGAGCCGCCCCATCCCTAACCATCTGTTAACTCGTGCATTTGGTTTTGATGGATGGCCATTTGGTGTTAGGTAAATAATAATAAATGTCTTTGCTTGTTATGTACTCTAATTAATTCTTAAGTTCACCACATACTTTTAAATTTAGAATCAAAGAAAACTACAAATTTTCCATTAGTGATAAGAGAGTGTCAGCAAATCCTGATTTTGTAGTGGATATGAAAAAAACTGCTATTATAGTCACAGAGGTTTGTTTGTATGTTTTGATTGCTTGATAATTCCACATTTCATCAACTCCAAATTTTGACAACTCAAAATCTTTTAACAGGATAAACATTTGAAAAATGTTTCAGCACCTGACTTTGGGGAAGCACAAATACTTGCTAAGATACTTGCCTGTGGAGATGAAAATTTGCATCGATTTGAAGAACTTATTCATCAGACTATATATGCAATCCGTGTCATCTCATCATATGTGACATTTTATAAGGCTGAAATTCCTACAATGTATTGGAAAGAAATCCAGAGAGGCTTACCATGAAATCAAATGATTGAGATTTTAAGATGGCCAGGAAAAAATGGTACAAAATCTGGTCTAGATTTGGCAGTACCAAAAGAGAGGCACATGATATTTGAAGCAATAACCAAAATTCACCACTCTCTTTTACAATCCACATCCTCCACAACCACTTCTACCTCTCACACTGTTACTAGCATCACAGCACCTGTAGAGCAAGAGTAGCAAGAGTGGAGGCAAAAAACCTCTGAAATAAAAGAAAAGAAGTTTGCCTAATGGGAAAAAATATAAGCTTTGTCTATAATATAATTGATATTTTTTTATCTCAACTAAAATTGCATGTAATCATTTTTTAATTAATAATTGCAAGAACATTTAAAGGTAAAATAGAAAGTTTTTATTAAGCAAAACTTAACAAGTTTTAGATCAAAGATTCTTTTTTATTTATTATTATTATGAGTTATTAAACCCAAACAAGGATGTAGAGCAAAGGTAGTTTTAAGAGCATTTTTATACCTTCTGCATGTTATATTTTAATATTTCTACTCCAAGTATCTCTCAAGCTAATCTCTTTTACTATATACACTGGATTTTGGATATATCAAGTAATTTTTATAATGATTGGTAGATTCAATTTATAATTCAAAGTTCTATGGATATACTCATGACTACTCTTATGGCCTATATTTATAATTCCTTTAAATATAAATAAGTCAATAGTAACAGTAGGAGTTCTGGGATTTTTTTATTTGGTCCATCCTTAATAAGGAGTACTAATATTAATATTTTTTTGGGACACTAGAAAAGGACAGAGGACAGTTATAAGTGGCTGGTTCCTTGTCCCCTGTCCTTTTCAATATTTACCCACTAAATCTGCAAAAGGACAAGGCCTGGACAGTTGACCCACATGAAAATATGAAAAAGGACAGGGAAAACCTTGGGACAGTTGTGGCACAGAAGTGGAACAAGGCATACTGTCCTCTGTCCTTTTTGAGTTTTCTGAGTAAAAAATTGAAAAAGACAGGGGACAGGTTTACTGTGCCACACCTACCCCTTGGCTTCTTTCGCATAATTTCTTGAAAAGGAGATGTGATGTCATTGTTATAACAAATCCTTTAAACTCTTATTTTTGTGATTGTTAAATGATATTTCCTTATTGGAATTTTATAAAAATTAGGATATGAATATGGACATTTATATCATGATTGATTTTTATTTTATTTTTAAATTTTTGCTATATATAATGGTGTAGTAAATAAATAAATAAATACATGTATACTGTTGGTGACAAAATCATCCAGCACAATAGTCCTTTCTAAAAGAAAACTGAAGTTAAATTCAATGAAGTTACCATCATCATTATTGTGGCTTATCTATTTTTATCCATCATTTCAGCCATTATCAATTCTTTCATTATGGCCATTAATTCTTTCATTTCCTTTTCTTCTTCCATTATTTGATTTTCATCCTTCCCTAGACTTTTATTTATTGCATAGCACAGGGAATATTGAGTAATTGTTGTTGATGTAGCCAGAAAATCACCAGGTACTGATTTCTCCTCTGTAAAGAAGGACACATTTCTTGTTAAAGAGATAAACCAGTATAAACACACATGCTTTGACAAAGTAAAAATTGATTGGCCATTTTAACACAATAAATAATGTTTGCAGGATATTCGGGAGATAAAACCACCTGGGAAGAAATAATGTACCAGCAATCTTCTGATCAAATACTTTAATTGACACAGGAGTACAATGCCATAGTATTAAAAAAATGAATGCTGTAACTGAAAATATCAAAAATAATGTAAGGAATACTAGGCTAATTGGATCAAAAAGATGTCTAGTTGTAATAATAACAGTCCAGAATGTTGGAATGGCCATGACTGGGAAAAATACCAAGAATGTAACGATAAGAATAAAACATACACATTCACTATCAACTTTTTTAACTTTGTCGTGCTTAACTATTGCAGTTGACACGCAAATTAGATGCAAACCCATGTTTGCAAATGAAAATATCTTTTATACTCAGCAAATCATCATAGGCTAAAGACCACTAGCGGAATCATTCAAGTGACTGTGTTGTATAATTATGTCATTTTTTCAGGCGGTTGCATTTACTTTGTCAACACCCATTTTGTCAAATGTTTGTTTCACCAAAAATTATTTCAACCTCGAGCTAGAGACTGAATGAGTTAGATGTGAGGAGTGTGGGAAGTTAGTTAACAGTCAAACGATATGTCACAGGAAGCGTAATTACATATATAAAATAGAAAATCCAACTCATGTAACAAATCAGTTTTTTAAAATATCTCATTATTTTTATAACAAATACAA